TTCCTGACTGAGCCAACTACTGGGATCAAACATTCTTGGAAGATATCTGTTAGATTTAGACTGACTTTACACATTTTACAGACATGCTGCACATATAGAGTACGTCTATAAACACTGTTTATAATATGACCTTTCTGACTTACAGTGCATGTGATGACAACCATGTAAAGACATGCAGCTGCTCCATAAAGCTGGTGCCAGTGCATTTGTGTGTGAATAATGAGCATGAATCCATGTGTTTTCTTGGTGAGCTGGGCACATTAGGAGTCAGTGGAACCCACCCCACCTGCTAGTCCAACTAATACAGATTTGAGCCCCAGACACACACTGGTTGGCTGAGCAGAAAGCTCCTTTTATCACAGTAAGTGCTTAACACTGGCAAACTACTCCAGCATGTTTTGACCCAGATTCAGGCAAACCAGCACAGCACTAACCAACAGTCAGGTAAAAACATTATTGTGGATAACAGCCACATTCTTTCTCTCAGTTGCCTGAGCCAGAGATATTCCCCTCTTTATCCTATTTTGCTCCATCTCTCAACTTTTCTTTCATCACACGCTGCCCATCTGTTTGAATCTTATGTAACTATATAAAGGCAGACTGACACAGTGAGGCTGCCAAGTCCGGGTTGGTGCTCAGTGTTGCTGTGTCAAAATGCGGCCCGCCTACAGAGAGCAAGGAAGGGTTTTATCAGGCAGCGCATGGGCATTTTTAACTGGGCATTACAGTAATTTCTCTCCCTGTATTTTTATGGTGCACACTCATATCCACAGCAAGGTAACAATGGAAAAAGGCATAATTCCTGGATCAACAAGACTACCAGCAACTAACAGAAGAAAATGAAAGGCTTATTGCGTTTAAGATATTCGGTGATGTAAAGGGCAAATGCATGCAAAGTAAATAAAATTAGCAGGACAATGCATTGACTTTTTCAGAGTAATTACATTAAACAGCTGGGAACTGAATATGATTCAGTTTGTAGGAGTTGATGTGAACTACGTCTGCCTCAAGTGCAGTGCAGTGGTTACTCCTCGTTTAGTGAAAGTCATCAATCAGCTCCTCTGCACAGTAGTCAGGGAAATGCTGCACAGCTACAGGGTGAGTAATGCCATCAGCTGCCAGGTTACCGTGTCAGACATGAGAATGAGGAGAGGCAGATACTACAGTGTGGTGCTGGGAATCATCATGACAAAGTACTGCACTCCTAATGCACTAACAGTGGGACTTCTATCCTCATTTACTGATATGACATGATTCTGGGTTATATGGGTAAAGTAAAGCTACCGTGGAAGGGTCGGGTATCAAACTTCAATACTTCTTGAGTGCCGAAAGGAGTCTGTAAATTTAAATATCAACCTGTCAATTTGTGAAAGTCTTGTGAATTTATCCTTTGGTCATATATTTCTCAACTTTAATATGATACTAATTTAGCCTACTTTATTCGACCATGCACTACTGCTATGTTCTTGGAACCCTGTTGGTGTCATGACACCATTAAATAGTGATGACTCAAGGCCTTCATTAAACAGGGAAAAGGTTTTGAAAAGAAAATATGCTTATATACCATGTTTACCATGGTTTAGGTATTGTTACAAAAAAGGTAATGTGTTGGCACCAGCACCAAAAAAACTTCAAAGTGTCCAACCCTAAATGATTCGGGATGCTTCAAACAAAAAGCTTGCCAGATCATCTAACTGGCAAGATCATCTAATCTCTGTTTTGGATATGGACACACAAACAGTTGTGTAACAAGTGAAAAAAGAGAGCTGAGAGACAAATTCAATCCTTGGCTCCTTTCTCACCTCTGCACAACTGGCAAACACGAAGTGAAGTGGGTGTTAATGTCAGATCTGTGGTTTTAGAAAGTTAGAGAAATGGCTGTCCACAGACGCTCAGTAGCTGATGCTGGACAGGTGACGGTGGAGGGGGTATATGAAGCTGTCCAACATGAAGTTCACACTAGGTGAAGCCTGCATAAGAACAAGGCCATTCAGAGCATTGAACACGTTTGCCTTTTGATATGGCTGAATGGCACATTAGGGCAAAAAAGTGAAAAGAAACTCCTGAAACAGAAATTATTTTCAAACCTATGTACATTGATGCTTTAAAAATAGTGTGACATACTAGGTGAAAAGACAGACAGCAGAGAGACAGACACAGACAGAAAAGAAGAGTGCTGGAGGAGAGCCCTGTCTCTACATGCACAGCTGGTGGAAAAATGTCTCTCTTAATGGATCCCAGCTTTCTACAGCACTCAGAACAGCCAAGACTGGCCAAGGGAATAAAAAATGGTATTATTATAATAATGCTGCAATTACCAATTATCCGCTCTCTCTTTCTAACACACAGGCACACATTCACACACATCACAGACTTGTGCACACATGCACACACACAACAAATTTCCCCTTGAAAACTATAATAAAGGGAGAACAAACACATGAAGGCACGTGTAGGGGCAGAAGCATAAAATTACTAGTTACATGCTCTCATACACATCACAACAGTCCTAATTCAGCAAAGTCACACACTGAGACAGTTGCCCTACAGTTCAGCCAGTGCACGATGACAGGCCTCGTAGATTAGCGTTAGCAGACCCATCATTTATGTAGTTAATGAAAAGAGATGACACGCTTTCTTCTCTTTCCAGTCAGATGATAAAAACCCTGGAGATCAGGTAACAAAGTACAGACATAACTTCCTTGATCATGAAAAGACACACAGTGAACATCAGACTGAATCAGATGGTTTCTGGAGTACCCGTCAATGTGCTCTGTCTCAGTCTGTATCTGCTAGGCTCATTTATGTTTCCAAAAAATCTCAGCTCTGTGTAGGCTACACATTATTTTCCCATTACTCATTCATCTCTACAGATTCTGAGCATGCAGATGCCATACTGGGAAAAAATACCAGAGTATTTTTACTGGCTATGATGAATTCAATCTTTTATTTCTTTACTTTTAAATCGATAACTGCCAACTTAAAAGCCAAAGCAAAAGTATGCCCTACTTTTCTGAAGTCATCTTTGATTGATGATTTCGACTACTACATCACTTGATAAACCACCCAAAAGATTCGGAATGTTTGTGAATAACGATAAGGCACCAAAGTTCCCCCACAAAGCTTTTTCTTGGTATTGCTCTTTAGCAGCTGGGACGCAGCCAGCAGTCCCCTTATCAGCACTTAACTAAGGAGGGTACGCTGAAAACCTGCCCTCAGGGCCAAGCTTTCAGCACTAAGCTGGAGAATACGTTCCAGGCCTATTCGATTTAAACAGGAATGGAGTGGAGGTTAAACCTGTCTGAACCAGGCTGAAGTTTAGATGATCAAGAATGCAATTTATTAATGTTTTTCTTTAACACCACATCACTGATTTTTAGCAGAAGATGCTGCAGCAGTCAGCAACAAGCTATCCATCCACCCATCCATTATCAACCACTTATCCAGGGACTGCAGGTTTAGTAGAATCCTGCTCCCCAGCAATGTTCTCCAGGTTCTCCTGGGGGACCCTGAGGTGTTCCCAGGCTACTGATACTGTATATAATCCCTCCAGCATGTTCTGGGTCTACCCCAGAGCCTCATACCAGTTGGATGTGCATGAAAAACCTCCAGTGGGAGGCGCCAGGGAGGTATCCCAGTCAGATGTCCGAACCAGAACAGCTGGCTCCTTTCAATGCCCTGGAGCAGCAGCCCTACCTAGAGCTCCCTTTGGGTGTCCAAACTCTGCACCCTATCTTATTCACGATCACATTCTTTCAACAAGCTGTTTGCTTTGCTTTCATGTGTGACTGCATTTGAGTCAGTGAGATTTTAATCTGTTTTCTGATTTCGGTGCATCATTATAACATCTGTCACCCTGCCATGATGTTAGCCATTTGTTCTTTAGCACGACAGCAAAATAACAAGAGGTACATTAATTATAGGCTGCAGCATTTCTTAACAAGTTTGTAGACCCAATTGAATTTTGTCCAGTGTGAACATAACTCAGTATCTAACAATGCTCCTGACTGTAGGCAGATCTGAGCCACAAGCTGAGGTGTGTGTTTATACAGGACCAGCCCTATACCACCAACACTGCTTTTACAGCTGGGTTGTTTGGACTTGACAGATGAACTGTGCCATATGTCCTGGGGGTGTGTGTGTGTGTGTGTGTGTACACGACTGGGAGTCAGGCAGCTCAAACCAGAAACAAGCTAACATTTTGACCCTTTGTAATCCTATAACCCCCATATCCCTGTATCTACAATGAATTCAGCCTTACAAACTCTAATGCTTCTGCTAAAGAGCCAAAACTGTCAGGAATAGTGAAGATAAGTAAAAGGAGCTTTGGACAAAACATTACCTGTAACACTCAAGCAGTTCAGCACCCACAAACCTTGACCTAAACTAAAATTCTTGACCTCTCTCTTGTTATCTGTTCCAATTTTACAAACAATTTCTAAGTGGTGCAGGTATTTTACAGATTGTGTTCAAGCATACGGTATATGGGTTTTATGTGCTTACATCTGTGTGTGTGTATTTGTGAATGCACGGGCTCATTCTTCATGGTATTTTTATCACTGGAAACTCATGAGAAATAAGCCGGCAAGCCCTTCCCCTCACTATCTGCTGGTGTAACTTAGAGGAAGCAGGAGCAGCAACAGCAAGGCCACACAGGGGCTCATTAACATCAGCCTTACTGAGCCATAACCGCTGCCTGCACACACAGCAGGCTGCAGGCTAAATGGCACAAACACACGCAATACAGATATACTGTACTGTACTGCGCTCTGGGTCTTTGTATTAAGATGCAAGAAAATGAGAACATGAGGAAAAATTAAGAAAAGAAATTATACACACATACAGTATGTGCAGACCTTCAGGCTCACCAGACTGACATACATGCTTCAGTGGCATCAACTTTATAGTCACTTGACATTGACTGACATACACGATGACATACATGATTCAGTGGCATCAACTTTATAGTCACTTTACTTGCATCTTCCAATCAGACTCACCGCTGCCCTTTGGAAGGCTCCTTTCGTGAAGGTGCCTCCTCCTCTGTAGTTGATGGCCGGAATCTCCTGGTTGAAAAGGGAACACTTGTGCTGGTGAGACTTAGGCGCCGAGATGTGGTCCACCCTCGTCACTACATGGGTCTTGGACGAAAAGGTGACCAGTGCCACCCGTGTGTTCTCTGGAGCAACAGGGAAGTCAGACAGCATCTTGCGCACGAACCTCAGCTCACTCAGGAAGTTATTGGCCCCCACGCTGGACGACTCATCCACCAGGAAGACCAGGTCCAAGCAGGCACTTTTCTCACGCAACTCGCGGACGTTTCGCTTGAACGCCTGGCCGAGACGCTCCACTTTGCTCTCAGTGCTTTCTGACAGGTTGCCGGCTAATGAGGAGGAAGTTAGGGTTGACATCTGCCTGGACCGGCGGGACTGCAGCTGTGGCTGGGACTGCTGGGCAGCCGGCCAGGCTGTGGTCCATGCATCCAGGATGCACAAGACCAAAAGATAAGTAGTCCATGATGGTGTTAAATAGTACCTTTGAGGAAACATAGTGACAGTCAGTACAACACCTGCACTAAAGAAGGGCTGTTAACAAGAAAAAGCACGACGTGGATCCCAAGAAGAATTCAGTTAAAATAATTGTGTCCTATGCCTGTGTCAGTGTCCAGGAACATAGCAGACAGCAACAGTTTAGTGCAGAGTTCCTCAAATGCATTGCTAGATCAAGAGAAGGATTCTTCCACTTTCATTCAAAATGTGCCTCTGTCCAACTGTTTCTTTATCTCTCCAGTGGAAAAAAACATGTGGTCCTGTCTGGAAAAATGTTTGGGCTTGTCTGCAAGGTATGAGCCTGCTAGTCTTTTCTACAAAAATAAATCAGTGTATCTGGCTTTTCCCTTGCTTTTAGTACAGACTGTATATGTAAATGTATTGTTTAAAGCGTCTTAGGAGTGTATAAATCTACTAAATATAGCCTTTCTTTTCCCCTTAGCCGGCCTCTTCTATCTGTCAGTCAATCTTTTTGTCTGTGGATCAAATCCAAAAACTGCCCGAGCTTCTTCAATTCTCTTCAGTCCCAGCGTGCTGCCCCTCAGGCTCCTGTTTGCCTATGTGACGCTTCTGCCTGCACTGTCAGCCAAGCTCCGAATGCTCGTTCCCCTCTTCTCCCCAAATCATTTAAAAAAAACACAGAGGAGGAGGAGGGAGAAAAAAGTTGAGAGACAGAGAGAGGCTGAGGGGGGAAAAGGGGGCAGTCCAGTCATGGCCGTGAAGTCATTTTTTTACTCCTCCTTTTCTCTCACCTCCCCCTCTCTCCCTATCTCTTTTTGTCTCTCACCCTCCCCCTGCTTCCCCTTCTTCTCTCTGTCTCCCTGTATCTGTCTCTCGTCCTGACAGTGGAGTGAGGTTTGATGTCAGTGCTGCGCTTCGCCTGTCAGCTTGTCAACATTCCCAAAGAAAACATTAGCAACAGACGCTGTGATCAACTCCTTATGTCCACACGTGCACTGTGCACGTAAGATAATGTCAGAATGAGATCAACCTAAGGGAACGAAAGGTGGAATAAAGTTAAGGGCTAAGAACTATTAAGGACTAAGAAACTACTTAAGTTTTGAGGAAAACTCAATGTGTATCTCAGCGTAAGGAAGCAGTTAGGTCTGCTTTGGATACGTGCTGTCAAATCATCACACTTTGGTAGCTATAATTTCCTCCCACTCATCTTAGCTCTGTCTCTTCATGCATCTTGTTCAAGAAATAAAGACTGCTTGTCTACAGTCTCTTATAGCCTCTCTTTCTTGCTCCCTCTCTGTCTTGTTTTCCTTTAGAGATTTTATCTGTAACCAAAACAAAGGCAGCCGGTGTTACTGAGGCACACTGTGCCTATTAAACCAAAGGCCTGAGATTTACAGCAGAGCTGGCTTCACGGGGAGCTGCAAAGCCTCAAGAAAGGGTCTGAGTTTAGAGAGCCAGAACAAGAGAGGACAAGGAAGAGAAAATGAAGGAATGGAAAAGATGAAGTGAATGAACAAGAAAGAAGGGGGATAAAGATGCATTGCACGGCCAAAGGTATGTGGACATCCAACCATTACACTGTAAACATCTCATACCAACACCATGGGCTTTAAGCTACTGTTATAACAGTCTTAAAAGTGGTGACTGGGAAGGCTGTCCACCAAATTTTGAATACAGACTAGAGGAGTTTGCTTCTAATCAGCAACAAAACTGACGGGGAGGTCAGTATTGGTGGGGTGCACAACCCAGCTGTGTTGGAAAGGGGTGAGAGCAGGGCTCTGTGCAGCCAATTCAATTTCTTCTACACTTAAATGGGGAAGCTATGTCTTTACAGAGCTCCTTTGTACATGGGGGAACTGTCATGTTGAAACAGCAAAACTGTCACAAAGCTGGAGCCAAAACGTTATTGTATGCTGTAGCAGTTGTCTGGTTTTAGCATTGTATGAACTGGGTCTGCATTACTTTATCTATTAATCTGATAACTACTTTCTTAATCACTTATTTGGTCTATGAAATGTCAGAGAATAGTGAAAAATGTCCACAAAATATCCCAGAAGCCAAGGTGACGTCCTCAAATGTGCAAAATCCAAAGATCTTCAATTTACAGTATTGGCAGAAATGCAGCAAATCCTCACAAGTGAGTAGCTGGAACCAATTCATCTTTGGCATTTTGCTTGGAACAATGACTTAAACAATGAATCCATCATCAAAAACTATCATAATCAACTAATGAAATACTTTTTTCAACTCCAATTTGAACTAAGAGGTCAGTCTAAATCACAAAAACAGTCACCAGACCCAAAGTACACAAAGATGCGTTGGCAGGGGTGTCTACATAGATTTGGCCATATGGTGTATAGAAAAAAAATAAACAATAAGAAAGTAAAGAAATAAAGGTCAAGAGGAGGAGGCTGAAACAATAAAAGCAGACAGCTGACAGAGGGCATGTGTTTCCACCACAGCAGTCAGTCTTATACTATGAGCCATGATGACACAGCTCAGGCACACACAGTGAATATTAGTCTGTATAAGTCAGTGTTTGTTCCTCTCCCTCACTCTCATTTGACAGCACCAAGAACTGGGAGAGTAGCATCACACAGACCAGATAAGCTGGATAGGAGAGCAGCTGAGACACACAACCAGACAAAAACACACACTCTGTCATTCTCACACATGCTGAAAGGGGGATGAGCACAGCTGTGACTTCCTGCTTTTTGGCAACAGAGACCTCTCACCAGACTTTTATGGGGGTCCCAAGGGAGACATGGGGTGGTGGATGAAGAGGAGGTTTGTGTGTGTGTGTGTTGATGGGAGGTTGTCTCTTAATATTTAAATATGTGAAGGAGGATGATTTAGAGTGCACTAGTGTACAAGGCTTGTGTGATGGTATCTAGATGTTCTGAGTACAGATATAATAATATTAATATATTTTAAATACCATGTATCTATATAATTTCTATTACAAGAAATGGTCAAAACCAAGAGCCTGAAGGCTTTCATATCATTTCTTCACTGTTATGGTCATAAAACAGAAACACAGTCTTCTTCTTCAGGGTAAAATGTGAACCAAAGCCACACAGGATGGGCATCCACCTAATTAGCAGAGTCTAAACCACTAAAAATCCAAATAGAGAAGTGGAAATTGTCATTGCCGGGGCAGATAAAATCAAACTAAATACAAAAAGACAGAGGAAAAATATGTGTTCATTCAGTCTGACAGATCTGATTTAAAGTCTGCCTTCCTTAAAATGCCACACACATTTAAAAACAAACAAAAAGTATCTGTGGGACGCATGCGTACACCGGATGAAGGATTTGTGTAGTTTCACAGACATACAAAAAAAAAAAAAATGCAGAAAATGCAGAGAGGGTGCACTGATGCTGTTCCTTGGTTTAACAGGCACACACTTGGACAAACTATTCTTCATCACATCAGTGGTGCCAACATACAATGGCAAGTTAACAGGCAGTTCAACATCAAGAGCATCCTAATATTTTCTCTCTGACACACACACACACACACACACACACACACACACACACCAGTTCTCTCACCTGTCTGGTATCCCGAGGAGCAGCAGATATGGTATTTACAGGTGACAACACATTCCTCGTATTTCTTGGCATTTCGGACCTGAGGGATCAAACACATACCTCAGCAGGATGACAATCTTTTCAAAACATTCCTTCACTTCTCAGTTTGATCTTAAACCAGGTTAAACATTTTTCTGTGTGTACGCAAATGTAAAACATTGATACACACAACTGAATCTCAATATCCAGTGGATTTGCAGGACATGTGGACTGTGATAATCAGTATTATACTGAGTTTACTGATGTTGACCCATGTTTCATAGACTAAATCAATAACAGAAAAGTAAATGGAAAATCACAAAATTAAACAGAAAATTATAAAAACATTTAAGTGAGAAGTCAGAGGAGATAAGAAAAAAATGATTTGCCAAGCTCGGTCGAGGTAAAGGCTACAAGACCATCTTCAAGCAGCTTGATGCTCCTGTTATATTAAGAAGTTTGGCTAACATCCCTGGATGTAGCCACAAGAGGAAAATGGACCCAAGACTGAACAGAAGGAGAGTTCAAATGGTGGAAAAAGAACAAAAGAACACTTCAAAACAGATAAAAGCTGAGCTCCAAGATCAAGCTACAACAGTGTCCAGCTGCCCCATACTGCATTCTCAAAGTGGCTCAGTGGAAGAAAAGCCAGGAAAATCCCCCTTTAGAGAGAGAAAGAAAAAAAAAATGCAGTTTTCAAATGCACGCTGACAAGCCACAACCCATTGGAAGAGTGTCCTGTGGACAGATGAAACTAAATCAGAGTTTTTGGTAACTTACATCAGCTTTATGATCAGAGTAGAAAAAAATGAAGCCTTCCTGCCTTGAGTCTGTGCAGGGCACAATGAAATCAGAAGGTCAATGAGGTATTCTGGAGAGAACCCCAGTGTCAGAGAGCTTTACCTCAGTCAGATCATGGCTCCTTCAAAAGGATAACGACTATCAACTTCTATGAACATTTTTGTTTTTAAATGGAAAGATACCATCACTTTCAGTCTAGTTGCACTGGAACTACAGTTATGAACTTCATTACCCATGTGTACTTGCTTAAAAAAGCACAGCTGTGTTCCACTGGGTGCAATTATAACCACTGGAGCCCCCTTAATATCAATGTCACAAAAAAATAACACTGTTTTTAAACTCCACAGGTGACTACATTTAGATATGTCATCACTCTACATCTACCGCAGGTTTAACTGACTCTAATCTGAATAACTTTCATGACATAAAAAAAAACTCCTGTTTGCCCACATTTTGTTTGTTATTTGAAGTGTAATGTAGTTAAATGAGAAATGCTTTATTCTTGTATTCAAGGCTTATATCAACGTTTGAAAATGTTACAGAGCTCGTAAAACAACCCCCAAAAAAGCCACCTCCAGGAATAACAAGGCTTTTATGAGTGAAAATGAGCATTTAGGAAGCTTAAGGGTTAGCTAACTAATTAACGGTTTTGTAGCTAACCAACACTAGTTAATTAGCAGCGCCAAACTAATGTAAGCATTACAAAGTGTGTTTACTTGGCGGCAACTAAAATGAGCTATAAATGAGAAACCACACTCTTTTGTTAACTTTATCCACGCCAATGAATTGTATAAAAAACACATTTAAATGTCAGTTACCTTTCAACTGTCAGCTGTCCTTCTTCCGTCCATACGATGAGACTGTTGCATTACACTGCCCCCTACCAACGACTGCCTGTCAGTGCACGCTGGGTAGTGGCTGCACTGACGCAATGCGGCCGCTAGGTGGGGCACTAATGTAAGTCTGTGGAAGAGCTGACATGAACCAGCTCCAGCTTAGCTTTAGTTTTTTAATGAAGCTTTTAAAATCCTTTAACTATAATTGAAGAATGAGTGTCATTATAGATTCTTTCTTAATTTAAAAACACTAAGATGTATCCCTCTAAATTCATTTGGGATAAACAGGCGAATTAGCAAAACTGATAACTAAATTAAAAATTAGTAGTTTCTTCTACATATTTTAGTTAACTGCTAGCTTCATCTTCTTGTTTTTGTTCAAGGAAACATCTCATTTGAGTTCATTTGTGGGGTTTTATAGTTTTCACAACCCTAAAGTCCTAATGAGTAAGAAGTTGTTTCCAGTAATGTAATGTGGATGTCTGTGTTGGTGTTTAAATGCAGCCATGTCAAGGGAGTTTCACCAAAAAGAGAAGTAAAATGTCTACTCAACACCAGATATCACGTTGTGCTCTGATTAATAGTTTCATAAATCAACTCAGCAGCTGTCAAAGTACTATTTTGTAAGAGCTATGGCTCTGCATGTATGTGACTGTGGCCCTTGTTTCCTGCAGTAACAATATAATGTAAAAAGAAAATTCACTCTCAAATGGCAAGCAGAGTAAAGTCAGTCCATGAGCCTTCTGATTTGACATGTTTTGTAATTTTAATTCGTTTTAAATTGTTTTAAACACTGCAAATCAATGCTTCCTTTAGCAGTTTTTTTTATCTCTGTAGTATATTTATATTTATTAATGCATTTTAATCAAAACTTGTATACAAACTTTAGTCTCAGGTGCCCTGAATCCACCAAAACAGCTGATTTGCACATTTGAATCTGTCCCCACAGGCTCCCAGACTGATTACCACTTGAATCCAGTTCATTTCTCCTTATTAAAGGTCCAGGGACTAATGCTGACAATAGAGTTCGGGACAGAAATGCACTGGAGTTTGTATAGTGTGTGTGTGTGTGTGTGTGTGTGTGTGTGTGCGCGTGTGTGTGTGTGCCTTTGCACAGTCATCCAGAATATCAATATGTCTACATGATCAGAAAGCATTTAGTTTGTCTATGAAGCTGTGTATGAATTTATGTTTGTGTGTGGTTGCGGGTGAAATATAAAGCTTGGTGAGGTGGCAGAGGTAAAACTAATGGATTTATGTTCAGTTGAGGCTATTTATAGCCTGGGTTGCACTCACATGCTGCATAAATATTTTACCAGGCCACCAAGCCTGCAAAAAGTGACGTCCT